GGGTAAATGTGATAAACAACATTGTATAAGGCACTGACGTTTTCTTTTTGTGTCGTTCGAAAAAGGCGACATATAGGGGGTTACTTTTGTCGGCGGCGTCGGCGGTGTCGGCGTCGTTGTCGGCGTCCCCTTAAGCTTGTCCGGAGCATAAGTCAGTCATTATAAGTCGGATTGACTTCAAATTGTGTATGCATGCTTCTTATAATGACCCGAAGTGCAGTACTTAAGAACTTCTTATTTTTTGAGTTATTGCCCTTTGTTAATTTTCATACTTTATTTTTGTCCAGGCCATTTCTTCTAATTTAAAAAAGTATAAAAGCTTATGACATGAAACTTCATAGGATGATAGATCTTATAAAGAAAAATTGCCGTGCACAAGAACCGGTACTCTGCATTTCTTATTTTTTTGTTATTGCCCTTTGTTAATTTTCATACTTTATTTTTGTCCAGGCCATTTCTCCTAAAGTATAAAAACTATGGTCTTTAAACTTCATAGGATGATAGATCTCATTAAAAAAGTGCAGTGTAAAAGAACCGGTACTCTGCATTTTTTTTATTTTGAGTTATTACACTTTAAAAATTTTCATACTTTATTTTTGTCCAGGCCAATTTCATGAATTATAAAAGCTATGGACTTTAAACTTCATAAGATGATAGATCTTATTGATAAGAAGTGCAGTGCCCAGAAAATTGCTGCTCTTCAATTCTTACTTTTTGAGTTATTGCCCTTTGTTAATTTTCATATTTCATTTTTGTTCTGGCAATTTTTCCTAAACTTTATTGTTCACAAGGCGACACAACCGACTCGCGGAAATCTAGTTTCAATCGCTTTGATAACTTAAAATGTTTTGTTTTTATGACAGAATGCTCTCTGTTTTTTTGTTAGTTTTAAATTGTACATAATGGAAAAGTGTTATTACAAAGCTTTTCATCTTCATTTGTAACACTTCCCGATACCTTCATGATACATAGTACATCTTTGTGGATCTTCGTATAACAGTAAATGACAATACTTTTCACACAAAAATCCATGATAAAGAAATGACTTTGATTTTGGTAAAGTAAAATATCCAAATTTAGATGGTGACATACCCAATGCAACATCTTACGGAGTATAGTTATCTCAGTTAATACTAGCAAATTTCGCAAAAAGAATTGCTGCTATCATAAATTACGGAAATACTTTACTATAATATTATATTTTATAATTGTAATTAACCTTAATATATAAAAGTGACTTTAATATCTTCTGTGTCTAGGGATAAGCAAACCTGATTTTTATGGAGATGTGATTTTTGACTTTTGTATAGTTAATTATCCACATTTAGATGGAGACGTACCCCATGCAACATCTTACGGGGTTTATGTTTCCCAGTTAATTAGATTCGCTAGAGCTTGTAGCAACGTAAAGGATTTCAACGAGCGGAATATTTTTATTACCAGCAAGCTTCTAAAACAGGGCTACCGCTATCATAAATTACGGAAATATTTTACTAAATTTTACAATCGTAACTTTGATTTAATTTCCAAATTCAATAGTGATTTAAAAACTCTTCTGCGACAAGGGATTAGCCAGCCTGGTTGTATGGCGATGTGATTTACAAACTTCGTAAGATTTTGGGTCATGGTAATTTTTCTGCTGTTTTTACTAAAATCATTAAACGTTTTATTAAAAGAGGTTATGACCCTACTATTTTAAGACATACTGCATGTTTAGTGTTCAACCCTTTTACAGTTGGACACTACGCTTTCCTCTTTTGATTGCATCTGACGGACCAAGTGGGAGACTCTATGATGGATAGTTCGTAAAGCCCTTTGGGACTGAATTGTCTTAATGTTCGTCTTCTGCCTTGCTTCGTCGGGCCCTTGTAGGTGATTTTCTTGTTGCTCTGTCTTCCTTTAGGACATTGAGTACTTTTGTTATGGTCATTGGGTTGGTTCACTTTTATATGTTTCTACATGATCATTTTAGTGTTTTACTTATTTAACCTTTTGTAACCATGACAACTGTTAGAATTTCACTTGGCGGGGATTCATTTTATTTACACTGTCTCGTTTATAGGAACATGGTGGGGCTAAGAGCGAGGTTTGGTGCACCATTAACCGGTTTAAACTCCCCAGCAGTCATTATTATGCTGCTGACCGTTCCAAGGCGGCGCCCCACTGTGTTCCTCAGATGTACGTCTTATGTTGTTTCATACTGTTTTTGTGACACTTTTGCTTGTGTCCCTTGTTGTTTTCTCGTCTACGGTAAGTATCTTCCCCATTGCATCTAGTTTTTATTTCTTTGATTACTCCCCACCCCCTCCCCCCGGTCTCCTGTCCCCTTCCCCTTTGTGGGCCTATTTTTATTTTCTTTGAATTCCTAATCAGTTACAAATTAATTATCATTTAATGATTAACCTGTCCGTGCTCTGTCTTTGCCCTGTCCTGTTTTTGTTTGGGGTCCCCCTGGGCTCCTTGCCATTGGTTCTTGTTGCTGGGTCATGTGGGGGTTGCGTTCATTGAACGCCGCCTTTCCTTGTTGATCTTGTTTATCATATTTTACCAGCTTTGTAAGATCGTGAGTGATGGTAATTGTTCTGCCTTTTTTACTAAAATTTGACATTGTATCTTCAGAGGTTGTGACCCTATTATTTGACGACATACCACACCTTTATTGTTCAACCTGTTTACAGTTGGACACTACGCATTCCGCATTTGATTCATAGGTCCCCAAGCTTTCATCCGTTTATCAGTATACAATGAAATTAAAACGGAATGTGTACCGTGGGTTCCAGCAAAGCATTTGATTACAGACGGTCTAAGTGGGGGACTCTATGATGGACAGTTCGTAACACCCATTGGGACTGAATCGTCATAATTTTCGTCTTTTGTATTGCTTGGTCGGGCCCTTATAGGTGATATTTTTGCTGCTGGCATGGCTTTCTTTAAGACATTGAGTATTTTGTAATAGTCATTTGGTTTACTTTACATTTCGTTTGTGAATTTATTCTGTTTTGTCAGAGTTACTGTAATAACAAGCAATTATTATAGTATTGCAAGCAATCAACAAGTCCCATACCGGTTAGAACCCCAGCAACATTCTGATGGGTAATTGGCCATTTACTTATGTTTCAGTGTTTCTCTGTTTTAAATACATTTGTTGGAAAAGTTCTTTAAAGGTGATCTCAGGAAACTGTTGTTATGAACAGACAGATAGACAAACTGAAGGACAATCTAAAGTTACTTTTTTTAACATCCCTATTACCAAAATATTTTTAAAAGCAAAATTCTTAAAGAGGAGATAACCCTTAAAATAAAGACGCTAGACTTATGGACAATGCCAACATGATGTGATTGTAACAGAGAACAATTAGTAATGTACGTGTCGGTAATGAATGTTTATTTTGAATTTGAAATAAATCCACGAAGAATGAATGAGAAATATTCAAAGTTTAAGGAGGAGATAAGTATAGAAGTATGGAAATATGTAAATTAGATTTATAAACCTTGTCATATTATTATGATGTTGGAGTTTTTAAGTTAATTCTTTAAGGAATGAAGAAATGGGAGTAAAGTATACTAATTTCTCGAAAAAATATAAGTTCAAGAGGGACATAATTCTAGAATAGTTTTGCTACAATATTGAACCTTCTCACTAATGATTTGAGTGATGGTAAGAAAAGTATATATGAAGTTTGAAGTAGAATAAAACTATACATTAAGAAATAAAGAAGTCATTTAAAAAAAAAACCTTTTTTTTCATGAAAATTCTAAGTTCAAGGGATGTTACGAGCCAGGCGTGACGAGAAAGAAAGGCCAGCAACAAACTTGTAACAATAACACATTTATTATAGAAAAATTATTAAAGAAAAATTAAATAACAATTTATGTTTACAAATACATGAAGTCCAAATAAAAATGAAATCTCAAATGTCTAGTATGATCCTGGAATGATCCCTTTTTGAACAACACAGTTAAATCCGAATTAATTCCAAGAACACTTTAGAATAAATCCCCGCAATTTAATCCACAAGAATAATTTTAACTATATTAAAATCCAAGCTCCAATAAATCACTTAATATCCAAGTTGAATGATACTCCAAATATATTGATGACTTAAAAGGTACCTGATGACTTAAAAGATAAAACGAATGAAAAATATCCCCTTATATATATTTAATTAAGAACATTCCAGAATAGTCTTCCATGTTCTACAGTAATCATATTCTAGCATAGGGTTGGATACCGATAACCGGTACTTAGACCGTACCGAAAACCGTTTCATAATTTACCGGTAAATACCGTTTCAAAAAGTACCGGTATTTTTAACGGTATTTTAAAAAATAAAAGCAAAGAGTATTTACAAAAATACAAAGGAAAATTAATAAAATTAACGATTATTTACGTCAAAAATATCACAAAAAGAATTCGAAATGGCCGTGGTCCGAAATGTCCGTAGTGCAAGTCAAGGGAGATCACTACCGAGTGCACGTGGTAGCGGCGATATTTGTATTTACAAAAAACATTATAATAACATGCTGCATAAATTAAAATACTTGATACAGCATTTGTTGATCACCTTTTGGTGTGTAACTATTTTTTTATTCCCAAAATTTATTGTTACTTGCTATTAAACATTTCTGCAATATTGATTAAAATATTCGAATTTTATACATGTCGTTGCTGATGTCAACAATATTATGGTTGGGTCTCGATCAAAGCGGTCTCCGGTCTGGGCACATTTCACTCCTAAAGAAGGAGGTGGTGTTTGCATTTATTGCCAAACGTTTTGCCTTGGGAAAGGTGGAAATACTAGTAATTTAATAAAACACCTGAGACTGAAACACAATCTACAACTGAAACAATGTACTCTATTTGACTCGTTGAAGCCGAAGACTGGTCAAGCTGAGAAAAATAGTATGTGCTTAACATGTAAATTTCATATTGTTATTCATCTGGGGCCGTATTCACAACTGAGTTATTTCTTAAGTTAAAACATAAGTTGAAAAAAAAATCTTAGCTAAGAAAATTTTTTATCTTAAGATTAAGTCGTATTCTGAAAACGACTTAAGAAAAACTTAGCTGAGATTATTCTTAAGATTGAGAAATATCTTAAGTAATAAATATTTCACTTAAGAAAATTCTTAAGTCGGTCGCTAATGAAAGCGGTTTTCCCGTTGCTTAAAATAGTAACGGAAGTACTCTCCAATGTCTTAAAATAGTACCGGAAGTTTATCCGCTGTCAAACAGACGATACTGTAATGGATCTCGTAAAGAAAAGATCGGCAAACTTTTCCGAACAAGAATGCGTCTTGTTGATGGAGATACTTGGTGAGGTTTCGGAGTTAAATCCAAACCTCACCAGGTATCAATACCTGAAACACAAATTTACCAATGGTAAGTAATTTTAAGCTGTTACTTGGTCAGTTCCCAGCACTGCAGCAGTGACATACGTAGGTTAAGTACCGTGATATCATAGAAATGGTATATATTTCTTGTCATGAATACATTCATTATTTACAAAATTAAATTTATTGGCAGATGAAAATGAATTGAGTGTGCCAGTTTAAAAAATATTAGCATCATTGTGTGTTGCTTTTACTAGCAGTCACAGAAAATGTTTGTTTGTTTTGTTTTGTTTCATTTTACTCCTTAATTTTCCCAACAATATTTCAGTCATATAGGTGGGTTGTTTCCTAACCATCATTCCTGGAGAGTTACACCAGTACTAGACTACCTTCCTGCTAGCTAAACTACCAAAGCATCTCCCGGGAATGGAACCCAGGCCCAAGAGAGTAACTGGATTAGAAGTAATCGACTCTAACCCCTCGACCACGGAGGCGGTTCACATAAAATGTAAATACTGGGATATCATAGAACCCGTGATATCATAGGAACCGCATATACGTCTTATTCAGTCTAGTAGAGTGCCCTAAATGTGTTCGTGTCTTTACTGTGCATTACACAAAGTAACAAAAAATCTTTGTTCAGGATAAAAGAAAAACAATTGGATATTTTTAAACCTCAAAGTAAATTTAAATTGAACAATATTATGTTTTCCCCGGTATGTCTGAATACTGTTGTCTCTTATCTTTCAAAAGTTTGCTTATGAATATTCTTAAAAACATTTTTGTTTTGTCAAAAAGAGAGCAAAATGAAGTTTTTTTTTACCCCTTATGCATTCAGTACTATCACTTAATCTTAAATTTCCAATATGCCTATTATATGGATTATTTATCTTTCATTCCCAAATTAAAATTGTGTTGAAGGTATTCTAAAATATTCTCTTTGATTTTTACATATATGTGCTCTATCTGAGTGATTTCAGTGTGGAATAAATGATGAAAACAGCTCAAGTTCAGGGTTTTATTTTCAATGAGGAAATATAAAAAAATCACATTTAAATACAAAGAACAGAAAATAACTAACAAACAGAAAATAAATTATGCAAAGAATACAGCTTTTCATTTCAATAGAATTCAACATATAATAAATTCATATAATTCAAAGCACATTATAGTTCTTAATATTTCTAACAAAAAAATATCATGAAACAAAACATTACCAGCTGCATCTGGCTGATCTATGATTATTTTACACTGATTATAAATTTAAAGATTATTTCTTTTTAAAATTAAATAAATCCCTTTCAATAGAATCTACTTTATACTGGTAAATTGTTAAGTATGGAACATTAGTTTCAGCTCAACTGTTGTTATGACAGGAGGAACTGTAGCACTCATGTAGAAAATTTTCCCTCCAGTTTAAAAGGGTGAATTTGTTAAAGATAAAACTCATGGTGTTAAATATCATCGTTTTCAACAGTGCTCTTCTTTCTTATAGGGATTACCTCTAAATCTAAGAGAGACCAATGGAATCAGATTCACAACAGATTCGTTTCATGTTCAGGGACATCTAGAAACCAAGAAGAATTGGAGAAGAAAACGAACAATCTGGTTCAAAAACACAGGAATTTGTACTCGGATTTCAAAAGAAATATAAGTCAGACAGGTATGTTATGCATTTAGTTATGCCAAGGATAGGAAAAATAATTATATCAATAAGTCATGTTCATGATAAACAAAAATATGTTGATGAAAGAGATTTTAACTGAAGCTTTAAGTAGGTGTTTAAAGCTAATGACTTCAAAAACTTAGTAATTTGATAATTCCTAATTTATAAACTGCCTTTCAATTCATGTCTTACCAAACTTGTCATACTATTTCAATAATTGGACTTTTTATCACTGAAAAGTTTATGCAAATGATATGCAAAAAAATATTGAAAAATTGTTATACCAGACAGAAATTTATAAGATTAAAATGTCAGCAAGACCTTTGAATATCTATTATATAAGAAATTGTAAGAATCCATTAATGACATTAATTATTTTCCACAGGAGGCGGACCAAGAACACCTGCTCTTTCCTTCCTTACAGAGGCTGTTATGGCCGTTGTAGGGAAGGAAAGTGTCAGTGTGGCTGGGGTATGTTTGGGAGAACATACAGATACCACCATTATGACCTCGGTTGACAACAGGTGATTTATATTTTGATATTCATTTTCTTTTTATTTTTTCAAATGATTATGCATACAAATATTTCAATATTCAAATCATATATGAGCAATTATATACTAATTTAATGTACATGTAAGCTAATGGAAGCAGTGACATTATGATCATAAAAATTATTATGGTTATCACAGGAGTACCTTGATGAGAAACTTGTATTTGACTCAAGCTAAATTTACTAGGTAAAGATCTCATGAGGTACAGAGAATCATTCAAGTAAAAACCATGAGAGCAAACTTCTAGTTAAAGATCAAGATTATAGATGATATTGTATGAGTGTAAGTTTAATACTGAATTTATTGAAGTTGAATTTAAGTATATTATACCATACTCTGACGAGCATGACATTATTTTATTCAAAGAGTTCAATAAATTCATTAATGAATTTACACAAATTTTATATTATATTTATCACATACCAAAAATAAAGACTGTTTAGAGTGCAAAAGAATCATTTTGCCTTGATGGCCTATAGTTAAAGGTAACATTTAGTGCATCTTTACATTTTGTAAAAATATATGCACTGTTGAGCAATACCATTCTTACGAAGTCGCAAAAGTGGCAAGGGTATGTGATACCCATAATAACTTAATAAATTATAATTATATCTATATATCAAACTATGAATTACTTTGTATACTTTAACAGTTCTGAAACTGCAGTACAGCTGCAAGAGGTGCAGTCTGAGGAAGTTGTTGTTGAAACCAGGTAATGAAATTGGTGTCTTAATTACTAATTGTATCAGAAATAGTAAAATTTAATTTTATATAATATAATTATGCAAATAAATGTCATTACATTTATTCCTGATGATAAAGTGCATGCCAACTAGGCTCGGCACACAAAAATGAACAGCCTCAGCATAGCCTTGCCCTCTACCTTTTTTCTAAGCCTTGCCTGATAAAATTTGTCATATCAGCCATTGGCATGATATTCTTTATTTATTTATAGTCAAATTGTTTATACTTCTCTCTTTATACCATGTCCAATTTTTTTTTTCAAGTAGTATTATTCTTAATACTTTAAGGAGATAATAAAAAATTAAGTGAAGCTGAAGTTTAAATTATACTTCAATTCTTCTCACTGGTATCCCAGCACCTACTATTATTGTGTGAAGTTACATTGAAATATTATTGATAGCTTAAAATCATATCTGGACAGTCAGTGTTTAGTATAATCAGTAGAGTTAAATTAAAAAAAGTTAAGTAAGGTGCTAGTATGGTTCTTTGATAAGTCACTTCTTCTCACTTGTCTTTATCAATATGTGAAGTTCAAATAGGGATCTGCAGGACACATGTAACGGCGGGCGGAAAATGTGATGATATTAGGCTCTCTCCTTTTCAGGAAGCACAAAATATAGTTTCAGTAAAGTATGTATTGATTAACAAGCAAACTGATTTATATTATTTGCAGGTCTCAATTGCCAGTGAGGGCAAAAAGCCAGTCACACTTCACATCAAAGTCTTCCAACCACTGTGAAATATGTTGCAAATCCAAACAAGAACTCAACAAACTGAAAAAAAGAAAATTAGAACTGGAAATTGAACTACTTAAAAAAAAGCTACATCTACAAGAAGAATAATATATATGAATTCAGATGAAAATATTAAATAAAAAGTAAATTGAATTATGGACAGAAATAAATATAGGATATTTAGGTTTTTTCTATAAATACAGGATTTATTTTCCTCGACAAGGTATGAAAATAAATATTAAATATATTGAAATGTGATAATTTTCATACCACAAGATGAAAATAAGTCCTGTATTTGAAGAAAAAACATTTTATGAGCATTTTATTTCATCAATATTTTTCAATATTTCATTAATAAGAATGTAATAAATAGAGGATATTCAAGTTTTTTCTATAAAGACATGATTTATTTTCATCGAGTGGTATGAAAATAAATATTTCATGAGTGGCGGTAGCCACGAGTGAAATATCGTAATTTTCATGCCACAATTAAGATGAAGATAAATCATGTATTTATAGAAAAAACTTGAATTTTTTGTTTATTATATACATTTTTCTGTTTTTTGACATAAAAATTTGAAAGACTTTCCCTTAAATTTTGTGTACTGGCAGAATTTAAAAGAAAGTAGTCCGGCAAGACACCAGTGAAAATACGGAAAATATGTTTCACTGCAGTGAAAAATAATTTTTTACAGTGAAAATACGGAAATGAAAATATGCATTTTATTTCATCAATATTTCATTTATAAGTATATAATAAATTGCCATATTTAAATTTTGCTTCTTTTGGGGAAATAATAACTGCATAATTATGTCATGTTAAAAATGTAAAAAATGTCAAAATTTTGCAAAATTACATGTTAACATTGATATTGTGACATCATGATTTAATGAGGGCGTGAAAAATAATGCATGACATTAAACTGCATATGTCAGTAAAAAATGACTTAAGATCACTGACTGAAACATGAAATAAATAGGAAATTTGTTTTTGGCAAGACTGAGAGATATATTTCACTTGTAAACTGGAATCAAATGTCAGTGTTAAGCATTGTCAGTGTATCAAAAGAGAAATTACCTTTCAAAAATAAGTTGCTGCAACATAGTCTCTGTACCTCAAACCATCCTGAGGACCACTTTGCACTATAGTTTGAGGTTGAATTTGACCATTATGCAAAATATCTAATGGCATTGGAATATTTCTGGATTTGCATAAGTTGTGTAATACTCCACAACATATAATCAGCCTGTAATAATCCAGTAAAATATTATTATCTACTCAAGATTACTATATGGATTTGTTGTTTTTTATGTAAGAGTCATTGTTAAAATAATCATTTTTTATCTTATGAAGTAATATTGTCTAAAAAACATGTATGAATTATTGATGTATAAGAATAACATGTAGTAAGAACAGGTTTATAAGAAGTTAAAGTACTTACTTGCATACTTTCTCTGGATTCATTTTAATCTCGGAATGTAAGACACCCCAGCGCCTTTTCAGTTGGCCAATGCCTCTCTCAACTTTGGCTCTTGTTGATTTATGTGCCCTGAAATATTTTTTTTCCATCTTACAATTGTTAAAAACAGATTTTTTTGTTAAATATATTACTTACTATTTAATAATTTTACCTGAGACTATATGTATATATTCATGAATTAATTAATAAACTTTACATGCTCAATATTTTGTACAAGAATAGAAGTAAGTGGTTCTCCATTTTACAGCATTATGTCACTGACTCAAAATGAATAAATTTAAAAGCATAATAATTATGTAATTAGTTGTTATTTATATAAAACATAACTGTCAAGATATATAATTTATCAGGTTCTTCTATATATACTTTATTAAGTAACTGCACCTGTTATACTGAGATTGTGATCCTGGCTGGGGATTTAGGTAAGGGGTGAGGAGCCATCTTTTACATGGATAACCACTATCACCTAAAAGATAGTGGTCACCTGGTGGAAAATGACCCGCACCACCTTCCATTAATCCCCAAACACCACTCTCCCTCAAAATTCGGCTGTCATGGACAGATCCCGGCCATCTTGCCACCATATCTATTATTCGATCATTGGGATCAAAAACAACCTGAAAATTAGCATTGGAGGTTTCTTATTTTTGTAAACAGCTATGAAGTGCTAACAAGGAAAGGAAAATTATCAAATTACTTGATATCGTCTATTTATTATTGGTTTGCTTGATTAATATTAAAATATTTTATAATGATATAAAGGATGAGCAAATTAACTGTTTATTATGCCCCCTTTCGAAGAAGAGGGGGTATATTGTTTTGCTACTGTCGGTAGGTCTGTCCCTTTGTAGACTGCATGGTATCCGCTTATTTTTTTAAAAACTATTTATCACAAAGACTTCATATTTCACATACTAATTGGTCATTACCACTAGATGTCCTCAATTGATATTGGGATCACTATGTCAAAGGTCAAGCTATTTATATTTCACATATTGATTGGTTATTAGATAGCTAGTGGGTCATTATTTTTCCGTAACTGAATGCTTCCATGTACCCATTTATGGCAAGTTTCTTTAACAAAATTAGCAATAATGCGAGTCAAGGGCTAGAAAGGGGGCTTATGTGTTGTTTCGACATTTCTTGTTCAATAATTATTGCACTACAAATGCTCACATGAATTATCAAGTTTATAGTCCCTGCATATTTATCTGACAATTGTTAAGACCACAGAAGGCATGATTTAAACAATCTTGGTAGAACTAAGTAATTGTACCTGAGTATTGATGCTATGATAATTCATTCTGTTAACATACACCTCTTCATTCTGTGTTGGTGCTTGAAGTTGCACGTGAGTGCCATCGATAACACCAAACACATTGGGGAAGCTGGCTGTGCCATAAAATTCCCTTTCAAAATCTTGTAATTCTTGTTGTGTTTTGGGAAATTTTATGTATCTTTGTACAATATGAGGTCTACTCAATGAATGTATAACTTGTGAGATACATCTTGACACTGATGGCTGTGATATGCCATGTATGTCTCCATCATTCAATTGAATCTCTCCAGATGCAAAGTATCTTAAAGCAATTTTTACTTTCTGCAAAGGTGTGATGGCATTTTTCTTCAGGGTTTTTGGCTGCAGATCTTCTCTAAGCAGTTCAGTTAGAAACATAATGCCATCCTTGTCTAACCGGTATCTGCTGATCACTTCCTGATTTGTCAAATCTCCAAATTCAGCCATTTTTCTACAGTTATCAAGAAAATAAAAATTATACAAATTCAATGTGTTTTTTATTCCCAAACATGTAGTTACCAAGCTTAAACATTACATTATTTGGCTGGGTTTTTTTTAAGTAAAAATTAAAAGCCATAAATGTAATAAAATGTAATACTCTTAATGGCCTGATTACCTTTTAGTAATGTAAATATCAATCATATAAATTGAACATTTGTTGCCACATTATTTAAGTCATATAGGCGGGTAGTTTCTTAACCATCATATCTGGACAGTTACACCAGTACTAGACTACCCTTCCTCCATGCTAAACTACCAAAGCATCTCCCGGAGATCGAACCCACGCCAGGGAGGTAACTGGATTACAAGTCATCGACTCTAACCCCTCGACCACGGAAGGTGCATTATCAAGTTTTTGTCTAAGATTTTCTAAGGAGGCCATGCGTCATGAATTTTCTGCCACTGTGATTTTTACTGAAAGTGCCCAAATCATGGAGAGAGAAGTGTCATTTGACCCCCTACGCCCCTCCTATGAATCCATGCATAAATCTCCTAGTGCCCAACTGATTACAGCAATGAGATGATTCATTACAGCATGTACATGCTTTTCAGTTGACTGTGAAATTATATTTGATATTTTCACAGGAAAATATCAAATATATTTTTCAATGGGAATGTGAATGAAAAGAATAATTATATCATAATTGATTGGAAGCACACAAACATACATATAAAGCTCTTAGATAGTGATGTCATAGTTTTGTTATTACACTTATGGCCATATTTCAGTTGATATATATGACAGTGTCATGATATTTAAATAGTTTTAGTTACTACAAGTATGTTAAAGTTATGACCTTAAAGATAATTTTCAAGTAAATACCTTAGCAAAAAAGTAGCTATTTTATCTTCAAAACAGTTCATAATTCTGTCCAAATCATGCCAAAGTTATGGGCTTTAGATGTTGACCGTAGATGATATGTATTACAAAGGAGCAACTTATTACATTCCTAAAATTTCCTTATACAAGATCCATTTTTTAAGAAATAGTTACGAGCCGCGTCATGACAAAACCAACATAATGATTCAGACAGGGACTTTGGATTCTTTCATGTGAGGAAGCTATCCAGCTAGCTTACGGAACGATGGTGGTTCTACTCAGGTGCCCGTTTGTGCCTGAAATAATGCACGGAAGGGCACCTGAGGTCTTCCTCCACCACCGTAAAGCTGGAACGTCGCGATATGACCTATACTGTGTCGATGTGACGTAAAACCCAAAACAAAACAAAAAAAAACAAAAAACCAACATAATGGGTTTGCGACCAGCATGGATCCAGACCAGACTGCAGGATTTATGCTGTTCGCTATCAGTTTCTCTACTTGTAATAGAGTTGGTAAGCGAACAGCATGGATCCTGATCAGACTGCGCGGATGCGCAGGCTGGTCTGGATCCATGCTGGTCGCAGACCCATTATGTTTTGTCGTGACATGGCTCATATCAATCCTCAAACTTGGTATGCTCATTTATAGACAGAATGTTACAGAAAGGTAATCATGACATTTTTCAGACTAATTTATGCACATGTTTCAATTCTATTCATTTCTGTTGAAGTTAATTTTTGAAAAACAAAGATGTATTCACTATAAACTTAATGTAATTATTAACATAACAAGAGTCTCATTCAAGCATGTCCAACAATTTTTTATTTTTACTTTGCTAAATGTAAACAAAAAGTTTAAACAAAACTTTAGATAACAAGAGCTGTCGATGGGATAGCACACTCAAATATTCTTAGTGCCTGACAGTAAAAAAAGCCTTGATTATGTCAAAGTTCACAAGAGAGGCAAAGAAAATAATTAAAATACATGTTACAGTAAAGGGCCATTGAGAGAGTCCCATTATGCTTTCAAAGAAGTGTATAAAATTTCAACTTGTTTCAAAGCCAGAATCTGATGTCAATGGACTTGAAAATAATGGAAAATATTTGAGGTGGTTCGCAAACTAATGATCAATATTAAAGTTTGCGGATGGCAATAGGAACTCGAACATGACTGTAACAATACCTTTATTTTTTTTCTTCAAAAAGAAATTGCGCTAAAAAATGAATATAAGATGCCAAGCATAATACTTTGGAATTAATTTATTTGTTTGTTTAGTTATGCAACTTTTTGATACTGATTTTTTCAACAATCTTTTTATTAAAGCAGCATGCCTCCAGATTTATGATAATTTTCATAAATATTTTGAAAAATTAAATTTAATGCATAATATTGTATAGTAACCAAAAAGAAGCAATTTACACATTACCAATGGCACTTACAACCCACGTCAATAACAAAAAGAGGTCAAGATATGCAAAACATTTCCTTACTGTGTTAGTAAAGCAGTAGAAGTATAGTTACACATTTGAAAAATCCACCATTAACCGCTCATAACATAAAAAGTTATAGTTGAATCTTGAATCTTTCTAATTTTTCTTTAATCATAGTACGTTTTTCACAAATTAGATATATGGAAATAGGTGTTCACTCATCTGGTGGCATGCTACTTTAAAGTAGATTCAACATATTTTTTTTACTATGTAAAATCAATCTAATGTTAAATTTTGCATAGTTAGAGTGAATTGAGAAAAGATAAACATTCTGATTATCCTTTTAATTTACTAATTGCTTTCTCTACAGTTAAAATTAAAGTAAGAAACAAATATTACACATTATGCAGAAACAAAGCATGTTTCATCAGTCTTGGTTATTTTCAAAACAATACGACTAAAATAGATTGCATCAAGTTTATATAATTGATCAATGCACATGATATATTCATGTATATCAGACAAGATTTTCTAATGTCTACACTGTCTACACTGTCTAGTGAAATTTAATTTTTCACACCAGGTGTGGAAAAGTCTGGTAATTTCAAATGATGTCCTTCTAAGTATTGCTCTTTATCCAAGACATGCTGGCTTACAATGAAATTGGTCACCACGATAGTTAGCTATGGATCATCTGTGGTATTTCAAAGTTAGTATCTGTTGATGTGTTCCAGTGTCTTTCAATTCATTTAAAATCTTTAACTTCCCCATTAGTTTACATGTATAATGTTGTAATGACATGCATGTAAGTAACAACAGGAGATATTTCTAATTTTCCGGAAAGAATATTGAATATATACAGTCTCTACTTTTCACAGCTATTCCTTTGTTAATGTATTCTTTTATATGTTTGCTCCTTATCATCACAATGACCTATTGGATATAACACGGTATATACTGTCTTAATTTTCACTGTGATGAAACACTGTTATATTCGGCAGTATAAATTGATGTATCAATTGCAACATTCCAAAAATTGTTGTTATGAGATTCATTCCATGTTGTTGTCTATTCTATATTCCTTGTATGTTTTGACTGTCAATTCTGATAAATACGAACTCGGTACAAGCAGCTTGATCAGCTTCTGAAAAAAATATACAAAAAATGATAAATGTTATAGTTACATAAACCAACAAGAGCACCGCTAGGCAGAACATTATATGCCCTAATTAAGTGTTGGTTTTTTTGTAAGGATGAAGCATTTGCAAGACATGGGAATTAGCTGTTCATCCTATATAAGATTTAACTGCTGTAGGGTGATTAATATACTTAAGTTATTGAGCGGAAACTGTTTTCAGTTTTAAGGTTATAGTGACATTGACCTTTGGCCTTGTGACTCTAAAATCAAAAGGGGTCTTTTACCCAATATGGACAATCATCCTAAGAAGTTTGAATATTGTGGGCCAAATGGAACTTAAGTTATGGTCCAGAAACCAAATTGCTTAAAGATGGACGGACATACGGACATACTCACAAAATGGTACTTATGTGACTTTTCCTTTTATCTTTTTGGCCATTATTAGTCACACAAGGCTTAAAAAAAGACACACAAGTAAAAACGGAATGAATAGGATCAAAGAGAAATTACTGTTACCCATTGTTCTCAAAGTCACACAAGTACCTCTGGGTTCAAACGGACAGACAGACAGACACCAGGGGGTATAACATAATATGCCCATATATTAGTGAATAGGATTCATATTCCCACTCAGATGCCCTTCATAGAAAAAGGGGAATAACTTTTGTAGCAATAAGATACATACAAAACTTAATTGGAAAGAAGAAACAGAGTTATGAAACTTGGCATGCTAATCCTGTATGTTTTCATCCATAGCCATAAGAAATTTCATGTGGATATCTTATATGGTGTCCGAGTTATTCAAATAAATGTATATTTCAGGACATTTTCAAAGTACATTTAACATTATAAATATTAGGCATTTAATTAGCTCTGTCAAAATTGAAAAAGGAGTACACTTCCAATACCTCTATTGGATTCAAAGATATTCACATGAACATAAATTTCTAACCAATCCACTGCCAATTTGAGACAGAAGCAATGCCCATTTGGTTAATATCATAGTTGTTTTGCCTATGTATATATTCAAATCTGTATATACTGTTTTAATTGTAAATGACATGTATATAATAATTTAAGCAACATTGAATAGTTTGAGCTTTACACACAAAGTCATTTAAAGGCCATAATCAGTTCAACTTTTTGTAAAGTAATGTTATAAACTGTTTCATGTGAAATGATTACAAAAAATATAGTATTATAACACAGATACATTTTTCACCATTGAAGAATTGTTTGTTATGCAATAAAATCATTATTGATGTTCTATATTTAGACATGTGACCAAACCATAAGACATGTGGTGAAACCATTAAAAATGTGACTTGCTGACAATAAGTACGGAAATAATTCAGGCACAATTTAGCTTAATATCAGGTATGGCAGCATTTATTTGTCAATGTTGCGTAAGAATCAAAACCATATATCCCAATCAATGATTTTTATGTAAGAAATAATATATCCCAAACTGTGATTTTATTGCTCAATAAAATCACTGTTTGGAGTTTGGATTGAGAGGAATTATATCATCCGCACATCATAACCAACACTACTACCAATATCTTTATAATATCATAATCAACACTACTACCAATATCTTATCATCATCAACACGACAACCAATATCTTACCATCATCAACACGACAACCAATATCATATCATCATCTTCATCAACACAATAACCAATTTCTTATAATCATCATCACCACGACAACCAATATCTTATCATCATCATCATCAACACAACAACCAATTTCTTTATAATATAATCATCAACATGACAACCAGTACCATATCATCATCAACACGACAACCAATATCTTAACATCATTATAAATACCATTATCACAATCACCGCCACCAACATCTAATCATCATCATCATCACTAACACCACCAACCACCAACATCATCATTAACACGATCATCATCATCATCATTACCACTACAACCCAAAGGCAAAATCACCTAAACCACAATCACAACATCAAAGCCAAAATCATCATTACCACCAACGATACAATGAATCATCATCAATACCACAATCTTCATCAGCTCCACATATCATCATCCAAAGGATTAAGGCTCCCACGTTTACAATTTTTTGTAAACGTTTACACGACTGCTAAGAACCAAAACGATACCGTTTAAACTGTGGTACCTCTATGTACTATACACACCATGTATTTGGGTCGCCAAATGATGTCTTTCTTTATACTTTTAATACATGAACAAATAAAGAATGTGCAAGGCTCATCACGATTGAGTCAGCACACATTTTTTGCATTGAAACCCCATTTTTTTTACCAAAAATGTATTATGTCACGAGCTATTTTGCACGGAAATGCTGTGTGGAGGGTTGTAAACACCCATTTTCCATTTGTTTACTTTGGAATAAACCACTAGAATTGATAAAATCCATGATTACAGGCAATGATTAAGAAATTTTGTAAGACAATATGGTCATTTCGATTAAACGGTAAACAATATCGTAAACGTTTATGAATGAAAATCGAAACGAATCTGTGTAATCGTGGGGGCCTTACAAAGGATACTGACACATTATAAATAAATCTGTCTGCCACCATTTTCACCACCATCACACTGGAATTAATTTATTAAATCAACATTTCTACACCATTTTTTTTGGATTTTTCTGTGAACTCATAGAAATAAACACTACATTCATCGTTTCTTTATATGATTATAAATTATTCAATAACGAGGCTCCGTTAAACCATGAAAGTTGTAGCAAATGTGATCAGCTGATAGTGTAAAATTATGATTCTCGCGAAAACTAGTTATTTTCCCATTTCATAATCATTAGCCATCGACAGTGATATTTATCTCAAGCATTATAACTATTACTTTCATTTTGCTTTTTCCTTTCATCAAATTTTTTGTATAAATGTACTTACGGTCAAGAATTCGACAGTATTTAGTCCAATTGTGATCCGTTGTAAAAGCAGCGTCTTCTTATCGATTTTTTTATTTCCGATTTAACTCCCTTCTTTTGTTTATATCATACTGTGTGCAGAAATTTCTTTGAACGAAATAATAACTGATATCCTATATAGCGTTAACTACCTCAAATAAATATCACATACCTGTTATTGACGCAAGTTTTCAATCGAATCGACGATTAACGTCCGCCATTTTTAAGATGATTTACTGCCAAGTTAAGAAATTTCTTAACTTTAAGATAGGGTAGTAGCTGACTTATATTTAAGACAAAAATTGTCCATCTTAAGACAAAACTTAAGATAAAAAACAGTTGTGAATACCACTTAAGTAAATTGCGGATTCTTATCTTAAATCTAAGATAATTTCTCAAAATATAAGAAAAATCTTATATTTAAGTCAAAAAATTAACTTAAGATCAGTTGTGAATACGGCCCCAGTGTAAGATTGGAATATTTTTCACAGATTGAGCACCGATTGGCGCAGCCACGAATGAAATATGAACTTTTGGTGTTCACAAGGTGAAATATGTTTCGATCTTACACTAAACAAAACAAATTTTAATTTTATTGTATGCAAAGAAACATTTTAAAAATACTTTAAACCTAATAATGAATGAAAAGTGCGCCAAATGATAATACAACGTGACGTCATTTACGACGTCACGTCATTAAGTTGGTTCCCAGTTCTGTGCACGCTGGTATTTCACTGAAACAACGTAAGGGGATTAAATTAAAAAAAATATCAAATTGATAATTTCACTGTTTAAAACAGTGAAATTACCAATTTTATATCACTTATGTATTTCTATAAACCACCGAAAAGCATGTAATAAAAGCCACATAAAAAGTATTATTTGATCAAAATGAAATGTAAACTATGTAACACTCTAGATGATGAATTCCAATATTTACTTGAATGTCCCCTGTACCAAGAAATTAGAAATGCATATTGAGGAGACCTAACATACTAAAATTAAAAGAATTATTTGAATCTGTAAATGTATGGATAGTTAAAATTTAAGCAATGTGTCGTGTCAAAAGTTAAAAATAAAATATACAGCCTACTGTATCACTGTATCATGAAAATTATATTATATTAGATCTGTTATTATGAATAAGAATTGACTTAGTAAAAGATATGTTACCTGTATACAATGCTTATATCATGTCATTGATATGTTTTGAAAGTAACAATTGTATTATTATTGTATACTTACAGGCAGCCTTTATATAAATAAAATTTATCATATATTCAAGGTAGGCATGCATTAATTGTTAACTGGCTGACACCATTTTGAAACTAACTGTTAAATACAAATATAAAAAATACATATTATAAGCTCAAACGCTCATAAACTGGAATATATTTTGCTAAATAATGTTGATTGACTATATCGTATTTGTAAATTTTAATTTTAAGTTTTTCAATTTGAGAACCAATTTCCGCTGTATATTGGACTACTGTACATATTGTATAGTTCCTAGATATTCCACAATTGTCATGTTTTATGAATTGCAAAATTTGCAAATAAACGAATTAAAATTAAAAGAAATTGTATCTTTATCCTATTATTTTTGTTGGATTATATCAACAAGTATCCTATTTACAGTAAATCATAGTGTCACAAAAATCTAGGTCATATCCAAAGATACTAGTAATAAAAATGTCATTATACATGTATATAGATCGATTACAATAAGTGATTCGGATGTGGCATAAATCTATGAGTTTCCAAAAATTTGGGATATCAATGCAAATATTTCCCCTTTCAGACAAGTTTTGAAAACTGTAGTATGCCGATGCATTATTTCACGGGTTTAAGGTAGTACACCCCTAATGGGCACGGTAATAAACTGTAAAATTGACAACATAAGACAGTTATATGCCTTAAATGTTACCTGTATGCAATTTTTAAACAAAATTTACCGTGTGGTTTATGAGTTATGGAAATTTTGTTTCTGAACTAAAACTTTGCCATTAGAAGGGCTTTTTTCTGTAATGAGGAAACTCTAAATAATCTATACTATTATCATTATGGAAAATGTTTTCATATTGCTCATTGTTCAGAGATAAATAATGACATTTAGGAAACAAATTAAACAAGCAAAATGATTGTTTTTAAACGAAATGTTTTTAATATGTATAAAAATGTAACCCTACCCCACCCACTTTTAACACTTATTTGACTATTTCCCTGGGTTAAAAGCCTTCTTTAAAAATCCCTTAAATTTTCCACAATGAGGGGCTGTTTTCAAAGTTTGTCTGAATTTTTTTTAATTCAATTCAATTCAATATTTTATTCGGCAAAAACATATAAATGTTCATCGCCAATATAACATATATACAATGGCGGTACAAATACAAAGAGAAAAGCATGAATTCATATTAATTAAATCAGTCGAATTCTTACAATAACAAAACAAAGAGATACTATATATGATCTATAACATACATAAAATAAATCCACATTACACAGTCATATTATGCCTGATAGTTTTCGCGCCAAAGATTAGCATTGTAAACGTATTTTGCAAGTTTATTAATAGTATTACTTTGTTGACAATTTAAAAGGGATTTGAATTTAAACAAATTTGGCCAATGACAATAATAATTAGGTAAAATATTAAGTCTAATCTGTCTGTAAAAAGGACATACTAAGAGGAAATGATACTCATTTTCTATACTATTCATATTACATTTCGTGCACATTCTTTGACTTCTATTAATGTTTCTATATCTCCCTTCTTCTATAGCTAAATTATGAGCAGAACACCGGAATCTAGACAAAGCAATTCTATAGCTTTCATATTTTACACAACTTATATTTTTCTAATTCAAAACTGGATTTAAATAAACAGTAAGTATCAAGTTTAGGAGATTCTTTGAGCTCTGAAAACCATTGCTGTAAATATTGGTCATAAATAGTTCTTATTACTGTTTGAATTTGTAAGTTAGTGATTTCTGTATTATCCCATAAATAAGAGTATCCTAAATTATCTTATAATTGTTTAACACTTACAGACCAGTTGTTTACTAATATTCCATGATCATCACGCATATTAGATACTTTAAAAACTAAAGAATTCGGGGTTTTCATAATTCTGAACCAATATTTTATCATTCTGATTTTACGACATATAATCATCGGAACTCGTCCAAATTCACCGTAAATCGCAGACGAACTTTTAAAACGTTTTTTAAAAATTTTAAATGAATTTTTTCTATATCAGGTGCCTTATGTAAACCCCAAATTTCACATCCATAATTCAGAATCGAAGTGATCATGGAATCAAATAACTTAATTTTTTCTTTAATGTCTAGTGATACAGTTTCAAATAGTGAAGTAAGCGAAAACAGAGCTTTCATAGCTTGTCCAGACAATGACTTTTGTGCCTGGAAAAAACTTCCATTAGCAGACAGAGTAACACCTAAATAAGTAAATTTAGTAATAATTTTAAGTCTATGATTATCATAAAATATATCAATATTTTCAGGTATATTACCTTTCTTACATATCATCACTACGGTTTTATCAATATTAAATGTATATTTGTTGGTCATGCAAAATATAAAATACTTTCACCGTGTAATTTTAATTTTATTAAACTTTGAAAATATCTGGTATCATATTTGCTATTAAATTTGGCATTATTAAGTCAATAAATACCTACAAAAATTATATAATTAAAATAAAACACTTTTTTCTTCCATTAGGGAACTGAGAGATTAATAAAAAAATGTTAAAAAGAAAAGAAAGGAAGAAAAAGTTGCACCTTCTGGGGATTGAACCCACGCCCTCAGTTTCAATACCTTTTACAGTGATTCTAGCCTATTTGAATACTCTTCAAAGTGTAGATAGTGCATTAAGGGTGGAGAACCTTAAATTGACAATTTAAGTCCGTAATAATATCTTTTTTAAAATATGGCAAACATAAATACAATATATAATCTCATCATTATAAAACATGTGCACGAAAAATATTTTTATTCTTGGAGTCCCAGTATAGATGCCAGAGCAATCTTTGACTTTTGCCTTTTTGTTTTTGTTGTTTTTTGTTTGTTTGTTTTTTGTTGGTTTTTTTTTTTTTTGGCAATTGATAAAGTAGCATTTATTAAGTATTTTGTATGGAAGTCAAGTTATTTTTTATCTATATTTTGTTACCTTTACAACAAACATTTTATATTCAGCGCTCCTTTCTTCAGGCGAAAAGCACTTGACAAAACTAACTAGGTGTTAGGATTTTGAGGAAACTCTGTATTTGGAACTATTAAAGTGAAGAAATTAGAAAATTTAAGTATCTGTTGTAATAAAATTATGCAATATTTTGTTTTTTCTTGAATATTCTCTATGTTACATATATTGTCTATGTTATGTACACTGTAGATTAAGGTATTGGTAGATGAAATATGTCAACATACTAATATACCATATTTATGTTTTAGATATTAATGATTTCTGTTTAAAAACAGTATATTCTGTAATTTTTATTCACATAGGATGTTTATGAAAGGTTCACTAAAACTTATATGTCACATTGTGAAACATTAAAATACTACATTTTTTAGAAAATTTAGAATATTTACTATTCTTCTGAAATGACATTACTGACAAAAATGCTCTTTATGCTGCAAATATATTGCATTATTTTCATTTTCTTGTGTATCATGAAAGAGTTAAGTTTATATTGTTAAATATACAAAATTAAGGATTATATATTGACTAAAGCATAAAAATATATTTGTTTATTTGGCATTTGAATTATTTAAAAGAAAATCTGTTTCTTTGTTATACGTACTTAATATAAGTCTCTCTCTATCTTTCATAAAAAGGTTGAAATTATGCAACATGTAATCAATCACCTTTGTTGAAATTTGAAAAGTATAATATCTTAAGATATTTGAAATACTATGTCATCTCGGCTATATGTATAATATATATAATTTCACACTTTTACATTAAGTATTAAATTACAATCTTTATGCTATAAGTACGTTTCGCACATTTTATTTTTCTCTCAAGCAAATCTAAGATTCAAATATGAAACTTTCTGTTTCATTACAAACAATTGATACTGAAATGAATGTTAAATTGTTAGAACCTATTTATAACCTGGATATCTTTCGTGTTTGTTTTTTTCGATAGGCTTTCGTTTCGTTTAGTTCAGGTTATTATGAAAGGTGTAAACATTCTATTTGATCCATTAGTCATACTAAATATTTTACTATAATATATATTTTTTCTCACCAAATTGTAACTATATATTACTATTATCCTAAAAATGTAAAATAGCCGTTTTCCATTATGTATTTGTATATGTTTATGTATGTATACTGATGATGTTTCCCGCTATTGTGGGACTTGTGCATTTTGTAAATAAATTGTATTGTATTGGAGTCCGTTTGGAGACACATTCTCCATATATATTGCATATTTTGGGCACACCATAACCCATGACGGAAAGAATATCTCGATAAAGATAAAAATCCGAACAAAATGGGTAAATAAATATTAGGGAAAGTCAGGAGAGTAGAATCACATTTCGATTTCTCTAAAAGGAGCTTTGTATTTTATATAAATGTTTAAAATGTTGAAAACTTACCCTGTGACTGATCTATTTTCTCCTTCAAATATCGACTGAAATCTCACATCTGGAAAAGTGGAAATTCACTAAATCTTTTACGATGTTTAATTTTCATATCCATATGGGTCTCCACCCTCCGTGAGTGTAGAGTAGATTATATTTTGATGTTCTGATTAAATCTTCAAAGCCCATGTGTCTTATGATAAACACATTGGTGTAATCATGTAAATGTATGTAATGGTATCTTATTTTTTAATAATAGATTTTCAAATTTTCATAATAAAGGCCATCTACAGTAATAATGTTTTAAATATTTATTCCTAATTTCTGTGTGTTTGGGACAAACCAAAAGAAAATGATATTCATTTTCGACCATTCGCATATTACAATTTGTACAAATTCTATCTTGTCTAGGTGTATTTATGTACCGACCAGTTTCTATTTTTAAATCATGTGACGAGGTTCTTAGTCTGCATAAGGTTATTCTAAATAATCAGTTAAACTCATATGATTAATGAAATTCTTCCGAATTTTAATTTACATGTAGATCTATACTTTTTTCTCCTCATAATAATCGACAGATTCATACATTGACCCTTTATTTTTGCCATTTATGCCCAATCGTTTGAAATATATATTAGATTTCGCTCATCTTGACAATGAAAAAATATTCGTAATGTGACTAAAATAAGTTTTATAATAATAATGATGATGATGATGATGACTACGACGACGATGATGGTGATGATGATAAAAACTATATTAATAATAATTGCATTAATGATTAAATAACAATAATATTACTACTAATAATGATAATAATTATAATAATAATAATAATAATAATAATAATAATAATAATAATAATAATAATATTAATATTAATAATAATAATAATAATAATAATAATAATAATAATGATAATAATAATAATAATAATAATATTAATAATAATAATAATAATAATAATAATAATAATAATAATATTAATAATAATAATAGTAGTTATAATTCTAATTATAGGTAGATAGATAGATCCATACATGACATTTTATTTTAATTGATATTGATCCCTACTTTGACCTTTTATGTAAGAAAACAATAGACTAAATGTACTTTTGTTAATAGATAGATTGTGGCGAAGTTCTTATTGTAATGCACTAATTTGATAATGCAATTGAGATAGGTGATGGGGCATGTCGGGCTTATATATAGAATACTTCTACGTGTCAAAATAAAGTGTCAGGAATTAACAAATTAAAGTAATTACATATATCCGGTATGCATTTTCACATGTCCTTTTGTTTCAGTAACTGCGTGCTCTATAAAAGGCCAATTTCTAAGTACTTTGACATTATATTAAAATAGTTGCATGATATGATAAGGACGAATCTATATCTCAATCGTTTATTAGTCAAAGTAACAAGAAGAACAAATTTCATTCGAAAGTTAACAGAACACGGGTAAATATATATATCTTTATTTGAAATTATGTTTTAACGATAAATTGAACATTGTTTAAATTATTCTTGCACTGATATTTAAATTTTAATTTTTCTCCAAAGAAAAATTTCTTCATTTCTTCACTTAACAGTGTTTAATTCTGTGTACTTTATCACAATGTAGTGTATTTTAACAGACAAATTTATAGTACAATTCTCCGATAATCCTTTATAAATAAATAGGAACGTCATCAGTATAATAATCATCATTTGAACTTTGGAGCTAATTTTTACATTTACGTTCTAATAATTGAAAGCTGGGACCAAACTTAAAATTTCAGTAACAATACTGGACATACAAGGGGGATTAAAATTTACTTGTTAATCTTATAGGATTCAAGAACTGTATTGTCAAACAGAAACATGAGCAGGAGTACAGAACAAAAGCAGTTATCGAAATGTGATGTCTGCGAATACAAAACTGCAAACAAAACCCACTTAATTAGGCACACGAAAATGCATACTGGTGGTAAAATAATTCAATGCGATATTTGTTTTCAACTGTTCTCACGAAACAATTTTCTTAAAACGCATATGGCAATACACACAGGAGAAAAGAATTATAAATGTGAAACATGTGACAAAGCATTTGCATTTAATTGTGATTTTAGAACTCACATGATCAGTCACACAGGAGGGAAAAGAATTAAATGTGAAATATGTGACAAAGCCTTTTCACATCAAGGTAATCTAAAAACTCATATGACAGTGCACACAGGAGAGAAGAAATATAAATGCGAAATATGTGACAAAGCATTTTCTAGTACTAGCAATCTAAAAACGCATATGACAGTGCACACGGGAGAGAAGAATCATAAATGTGAAATATGTGACAAAGCATTTTCTAATACTAGCAATCTAAAAACTCATATGACAGTGCACACGGGAGAGAAGAATCATAAATGTGAAATATGTGACAAAGCATTTTCTCATAATAGCAATCTAAAAACTCATATGACAGTGCACACGGGAGAGAAAAATTATAAATGCGAAATATGTGACAAAGTATTCGCTCGTAAATTTATTCTTCAATCTCATATACAAGTACATTTAGGACATAAGAATTATAAATGTGGAATATGTGACAAAGTATTTGCTCACAATGGCAATCTGAAAACTCATTTGAAAGTGCACACAGGAGAAAAGAAATATAAATGCGAAATATGTGACAAAGCATTTTCTAATAATAGCAATCTAAAAACTCATATGACAGTGCACACAGGAGAAAAGAAATATAAATGCAAAAAATGTGACAAAGCATTTTCTAGTAATAGCCATCTAAAAACTCATATGACAGTGCACACGGGGGAGAAGAATTATAAATGTGAAATATGTGATAAAGCATTTGCTCAAAAATGTACTCTAAAATCACATATGGCAGTGCACACGGGAGAGAAAAATTATAATTGCAAAATATGTGACAAAGCATTTTCACAAAATAGCAATCTAAAAACTCATATGACAGTTCACACAGGAGAGAAGCATTTGCAGTTAAAAGTTACCTTACACAACATATGACAGTGCACACAAAAGAAAAGAATTATAAATGTGAAGTATGTGACCAAGCATTTGCTCGTAAAAGTACTCTTAAATCTCATATGGATGTGCACACAGGAGAGAAGAACTTTAAATGCGAAATATGTGACAATGCATTTGCTCGTAAGGGTACTCTTAGAGTTCATATGGCAGTACACACAGGAGAGAGGAATTAAAGTTGTAAATTATTTGATGAAGAGCTTTCTCAAAATGGATTTTTTAAAACTCATATGACAGTGCTCACATGTGAGAAGAATTATAAATACAAAATATGTGAGAAAACATTTTCTCAATGTTATAGAACATTTGTTTATACACGCGTATCAATCATGCTTAAACCCATTTCTAATGGAATTTCTGTTATTATTATCATTATTATTATTATCATTATTATTATCATTATTATTATCATTATTATTATTATTATCATTATTATTATTATTATATAGAGGATATTTGTTTGTTTTGCATGTAAGATTGAAATATAATTTCACTGAGTGAACACCAGATGCAATATTTTCACGAGTGGCGTAGCCACGAGTGAAAATATAATAGCTGGTGTTCACGAATGAAATATATTTCAATCTTATATGTAAAACAAATAAATTTTCTTTTTATTTTATGCTTTTTCAGCGATTTTAAGTAATTTTTTACTGATTATGCCGCGTAACGTCACGCATTCTCCTTTGTGACGTCATATATATCATGACGTCACATCATCAGTTTTGAAATCTAGTTCCGTTGAATTTCTCTAATTATGTTAAATTTCTAACATGATCTATGATGACATTGACTTTCTTTTCCTAAAGAAGCAAAATTTACGTATGACGGCATTTATTTCTGCTTGTTATTCCATTTAGTTATGATTTTCTGTTCATCCGCATTCAGATATAGTCCGGCTACAGTGAAAATTATATTTTATAAATTTCACTAGTGGTTTATCAGAATATAATCATCTGATATATTACAATAAAACACTGGAAAGCATGAAATAATATTATTATTATTTATAATATAAGCCGTATAAAAAATAAAAAATATTATTTGATCGAAATGAAAATGTAAACTATGTAACATGCTAGAGTATGAACTCCAATACTTATGTGAATGTCCCCTGTACAAGAAATTAGACAAATGCATATCGAGGAGACCTAACATACTAACATTCAGAAAGATTATTTGAATTTGAAAATATATATGTGGGTTTGTTTTCAAAAGTTTAAATAAAATATACAGCGTACTGTATCAACTCTCACTGTATCATGAATATGATATTATATTAGATCTGTTATTATGAATAAGAATTGACTAAGTAGCAGACCTGTTACATGCAGACAATGCCATTGATATGTTTTGCAAGTAATAATTGTATTATTATTGTATACTAACAGGCAGACTGCCTTTATATAAGTAAAATTTGCCATGTATTCAAGACAGGCATGCAATTATTGTTCACTCGCTGACACTATTTTAAAACTTACTGTAAGATACAAATATAAAAAAAAACATATTATAAGCTCAAACGCTCATAAACTGGAATATATTTTGCTTAATAATGTTGATTGACTATATCGTATTTGTAAATTGTGTACATTGTAATTTGAAGGTATTCAATTTGAGTACCAATTTCCGCTGTATATTGGACTACTATATATATTGTATAGTTCCTAGATATTCCACAATTGTCATGTTTTATGAATTGCAAAATTTGCTAATAAACGAATTAAAATTAAAACAAATTGTATCTTAATCCTATTATTTTTGTTGGATTTTATCAACAAGTATTCTATTTCCAGTAAATCATTTTGTCGCAAAAATCTAGGTTATATCAAATGAGAATAAAAATTATGTCATTATACATGTTTATCACACACCTGTGACGATTTTGCGACTCTGTAAAAATGGTATTGCACGGCCGTGCATATATTTTGACGTGACGTCATTGTCGTTATACAAACTTAGTGTCCAACTTTATTTGTCATCCAATTTAAACGTTGTATTTCTTAAAAAATTATGTGCATTAATTTTCATAGAAGAACAGAAGTCGATACTATATCTATTCTATTTTTCATGGTACTTCATAGAACGGTAAAGTGACATAATATAGTGATTATGATGCCAAATAAAGTTTGACTATAAATATGTTATTATCACACACCCGTGCCGATTTTGCGGCTCCGTAAAAATGGTATTGCACGGCCTTGCATATATCTTGACGTGACGAAATTAGCGTTATACAAATATAGTGCAAAGACGCGCTAAATTTTAGCGTAATACTATAGGCGCGTCAATGAAAAATTACTCTTTTTTCACTTCTAACGGTCTTTATTTTAGGTATGTGATAAATAGAATATTAAATTCCTGTAAGATCATTACTGAATTTATTGAACTTGTTGAATAAAATAATAACATGCTCGCCAGAGGGTCGCATAATATAATTCTATTCAACTCGTGCAATAAATTCAGTATTGAACTAACATTCATTCAATATCCCATATATATAGGTCGATTACAAAAAGTGATTCGGATGTGGCATAAATCTATGTATCTAGTCTCCAAAATATGGGATATGAATGCAAATATTTTACTTTCAGGCATGTTTTGAAAACTGTAGCATGCTGATGCATTATATCACGGACTTAAATTGACAATTAAAGTTCATAATAATATGGCAAATATAAATACAATATATAATCTCATCACTATAACACATGTTCACGAAAAATATTTTTTATTCTTGGAATCCTAGTATAGTTTCAAAAAAGTAACTAATTAGCTGGTTGACAGAGCCATTTTTTTTTGGCTTCTGTTGCTTTTGGCAATTGAAAAAGTAGCATTTATTGAGTATTTTGTATGGAAGTCAAGTTAATAGTTAATCTATATTTTGTTAATTTTTGACGACAAACATTTTGATATTCAGCGCTCCTTTCACCAGGTGAGACGCACGTGGCAAAACTAACATGCTAGTCAGTTACTATTATGAACGTGATCCGTTGTTTTGTAGATGGTTTGCGTTCATTGAACGCCGCCTTTCCTTGTTGATCTTGTTTATCATTTCTTATATCAGCTATGGATCTCTTCAGCACATATGAAACTCGACTGGAACTTTGTCCAGCAATTCCTTCATGTTGAGCCTATTTTCAATAAATGCTTCATTAAGGGTTTGTTTTTGTTTGAATATTAAACATCGTTTGGTGTTAGATTTTGAGGACACTCCGTATTTGGAATCCGTTTGGCGACACATTCTCCATATATATTTCATATTTTGGGCACACCATAACCCATGACGGAAAGAATTTCTCGATGAAAACTGCATAAAATCCGAACAATATGGGTAAATAAATATGAAGGAAAGCCAGGAGAGTAGAATCACATTTTCGATTTTCGTAAAAGGAGCTTTATATTTTTAATAAATGTTTAAAATCAAGAATATGTAGTACGATTTACTGCCAAATCAATCTCATAAAAACAGTATAACTAGGTGCCTTTATCTTAAATTAGGTTAATTAGTGTTATATTCAGTTATAGTAGATTCCGCTCAACATGACTATGAAAAAATATTCATAATGTGAATTTATTTATAACTAACAAACTTCTTAAACAAGGTTATCGCTATCATAAATTACGTTAATATTTTTCTAAGTTTTACCATCGTAATTCAGACTTAGTTTTAAAATTTAACTGTAATTTAAAAACACTTTACGACAAGGTATTACATTACCAAGCCTGACTTCTATGGAGATGTGGTTTACAAACTTCGTAGGATCATGGGTCATAGTAATTTTTCTGCCGTATTCACTAAAATTATCAAACGGTTTATTAAAAGAGGTTATGACCCAATTATTTAAAGGCATACCGCATGCTTGGTATTCAACCCTTTTACAGTTGGTCGCTACGCTTTCCTCTTTTAATTACATCTGACGTACCAAGTGGGGGACTCTATGATGGACAGTTCTTAAAGCCCTTTGGGGACTGAATTGTCTTAATGTTCGTCTTCTGCCTTGCTTCGTCGGGCCCTTGTAGGTGATTTTCTTGTTGCTCTGCCTTCCTTTAAGGCATCGAGTACTTTGGTAATGGTCATTAGGCAGTAACTTTTTCTACATATTTACATCTACATAATTTTGTATGTGTTTTATTTATTTTGTCTAATGTAACCACGACCATTGTTAGAATTTCACTTGGCGGGAATTAATTTTATATACATTTTTGTGTCATTCAGGAACATATTGGGGCTAAGAGTGAGGTTTGGCGCGTCTAAAACCGGTTTAAACTCCCCAGTGGTATAACTACCACTGACCGTTCCAAGGCGGTACCCCTTTGTGTTCCTTCACGTGTTTTCTTGTCTGTATTGTTACTTGTTTTTGGATGTTTACATGTTTTGTGATGTTTGTCTCGTTGGATTGTCGTTGACGGTAGGTATTTTCTCTTCCCCCCCCCTCGATTTTTAAACCCCCCCCCCCCACCTTTACACCCGTTCAGCCCTTTCCCTTTAATTCCCTTATGGGCCTTTTTTTGTTTATATTATTTCACATTACATGTCCCGCCCCTTTCGCCCTTGTGTCCACTCCAGATACTTGTTTGGTGCCTTCTGGGTGTCCTGCTTGGGTGTGTCCGGGGGGCGGCGTCCTGTGAACGTTGCCTTTGCCTTGTTGATCTTTATTATTGTTATTTAATAATTGTAATAATAATGATGATTGCAATAATGATGATGATGATGGTGGTGGTGGTGATGATGATGACGACGACGACGACAACAATGATGATGATGATGATAATGATGGTGGTGATGATGATAATAATAATTACAAAAATGATTAAATAATAATAATAATAACAATAATAATAATAATAATAATAATAATAATAATAATAATAATAATAATAATAATAATAATAATAATAATAATAATAAAAAAACAATAATTACAATTATGATTAAATAATAATAATTATATTAATAATAATAACATTAATGATTCAATAATAATAATAATAATAATAATAATAATAATCATAATCATAATCATAATCATAATCATAATCATAATCATAATAATAGTTAGATTGATAGATCCATACTATGACATTTTATTTTAATTGATATTGATCCCTACTCTGACCTTTTATTTAAGAAAACAATAGACTTAATAATAAGCATTGACATGTGTTCTTTTGTTAATAAATAGATTGTGGCGAAGTTCTTATTGTTATGCACTAATTTGATAATGCAATTGAGATAGCTTATGGCGCATGTCGGGCTAATGAATAGACTACTTCCATGTGTCAAAATAAAGTGTCAGAAATTAACAAATTAAAATAATTACATATATCCGGTAAGCATTTTCACATGTCCTTTTGTTTTAGTAACTGCGTGTTCTATAAAACGCCAATTTCTATGTTCTTTGACATTATATTAAAATAGTTGCATGATATGATAAGGACGAATTTATATCTCAATAGTTTATTAGTCAAAGTAACAAGAAGAACATTTTCATTCGAAAGTTAACAGAACACGGGTAAATATATATCTTTATTTGTAATTATGTTTTAACGATAAATTGAACATTGTTTAAATTATTCTTGCACTGATATTTCAATTTTAGTTTTTCTCCAAAGAAAAATTTCTTAATTTCTTCACTTAACAGTATTTAATTATGTGTACTTTATCACAATGTAGTGTATTTTAACAGATAAATTTATAGTACAATTCTCCGATAATCCTTTATGTAAAATAGGAATGTCATCAGTATAATAATCATCATTCGAAATATGGAGCTAGTTTTGACATTTACGTTCCAATAATTGGAAGCTGATACCATACTTAAAATTTCAGTAACAATACTGGATATACAAAGGGGATTAAAATTTACTTGTTTATCTTATAGGATTCAAGAACTGTATTGTCAAACAGAAACATGAACAGCAGTACAGAACAAAAGCAGTTATCAAAATGTGATGTCTGCGAATACAAAACTGCAAACAGAACGCACTTAATTAGGCACACGAAAATTCATACTGGTGGTCAAAAAAATCAATGCAATGTTTGTTTTCAACTGTTCTCACGAAACTATTTTCTTAAAATGCATATGGCAATACACACAGGAGAGAAGAATTATAAATGTGAAATGTGTGACACAGCATTTGCAGATAAAAGTGCTCTTAAAACTCATATGACATTGCACACTGGAGAGAAGAAATTTAAATGTGAAATATGTAAAAAAGCATTTGCTCGCAATAGCCATCTGAAATCACATATGGCAGTACACACAGGAGAGAAAAATTATAAACGTGAAATGTGTGACAAAGCATTTGCAGATAAAAGTACTCTTAAAACTCATATGACAGTGCACACAAGAGAGAAGAAATTTAAATGTGAAATATGTGACAAAGCATTTGCTCAGAAATATAATCTTAAATCTCATATGGTAGTGCACACGGGAGAGAAGAATTACAAATGCCAAATATGTGACAAAACATTTGCTCATAAAGTTACTCTTAAATCTCATTTAGAAGTACATTTAGGACAGAAGAAACAGAAGAATTATAAATGTGGAATATGTGACAAAGTATTTGCTCATAAAGTTACTTTAAAAACTCATATAGAAGTACATTTACATGGGAAGAAATATAAATGTGGAATATGTGACAAAGCATTTGCAGTTAAAAGTACTCTTAAAACTCATATAGAAGTACATTCAAGAGAGAAGAATTATGAATGTGGAATATGTGACAAAGTATTTGCTCGCAATAGCCATCTAAAAAGTCATATGGCAGTACACACGGGAGAGAAGAATTATGAATGTAAAATATGTGAGAAAGCATTTGCTCGCAATAGCCATCTGAAAATTCATATGACAGTGCACACAGGAGAGAAGAAATATAAATGCGAAATATGTGACAAAGCTTTTTCTATAAAAAGCAATCTAAAAACTCATATGACAGTGCACACGGGAGAGAAGAATTATGAATGCGAAATATGTGACAAAGCATTTGCAGAAAAAAGAAATCTTACAACTCATATGACAGTGCACACAGGAGAGAAGAAATATAAATGCGAAATATGTGACAAAGCTTTTGCTCAGAAAGGCAATCTAAAAGCTCATATGGCAGTGCACACAGGAGAGAAGAATTATAAATGCGAAATTTGTGACAAAACATTTGCTCAGAAAAGCAATCTAAAAACTCATATGACAGTGCACACAGGAGAGAAGAATTATAAATGCGAAATTTGTGACAAAACATTTGCTCAGAAAAGTACTCTTAAAACTCATATAGAAGTACACTTAACACAGAAGAAACAGAATAATTATTAATATGAAATATGTGACAAAGCATTTACTCATAAAGTTACTTAAAAATCATATAGAAGTACATTCAGGAGAGAAGAATTATAAATGTGAAATATGTGACAAAGCATTTGCAGATAAAAAATACCTTAAAAAGCATATGACAGTGCACACAGGAGAGAAGAATTATAAATGTGAAATATGTGACAAAGCATTTGCAGATAAAAGTTACCTTAAAAAACATATGACAGTGCACATAGGAGAGAAGAATTATAAATGTGAAATATGTGACAAAGCATTTGCAGATAAAAGTTACCTTAAAAAACATATGACAGTGCACACAGGAGAGAAGAATTATAAATGTGAAATATGTGACAAAGCATTTGCTCGTAAAAATACTCTCAGAATTCATATTGTTGTGCATACGGGAGAGAAGAAATTTAAATGGGAAACATGTGACAAAGCATTTGTTCGTTAAAGTACTCTTAGAATTCATATGGTTGTGCACACGGGAGGAAGAACTTTAAATGCGAAATATGTGACAAAGCATTTGCTTGTAAAAATGATTTTGAAACTCATATGGCAGTGCACACAGGTAAGAGGAATTTAAGTTGTAAATTATTTGATAAGGAAATTTCTTGAAAGGATTTTTTTTAAGTTATCAGTCACACGAGAGAAGAATTATTAATACAAAATATCTGAGAAAAAAATTCTCATAGTAATAAACTTTAAAAAACATTGTTAATACACGCGTATCAATCATGCGAAAACCATTTACTAATGGAATATCTCTCGTACGAATACATACAAAAGGGAAGTAACCTCAATGTTATTTGGTTTTTTCACATGAGAGAGAAGAAAAATGGATGTGGAATGTCAGTGAAAAATCATTTTCTCTAAAAATTATATCTTGTAAAAATACAGTCAGGACACCAAAAGTGTAAATAAGATGTATGTAACAAATCACAATCATCATCATCATCATCATCATCATCATCATCATCATCATCATCATCATCATCATCATCATCATCATCATCATCATCATCATCATCATCATCATCATCATCATCATCATCGTCAACATCTTCATCATGATCATCATTATCATCATTATCATCATCATCAGCAGCATCATCATCATCATTATCATCATCATCGTCATTACCATCATCATCATCGTCATCGTTATCATCATCATCATCGTCATCGTCATCATCATCATCATTATCATCATTATCAGCAACAGAGCAGCAACAGCAACAGTAGTAGTTTTAGTAGTGGTAGTAATTATTATTATAATTATAATTATTATATTATTATTATTATTATTATTATTATTATTATTATTATTATTATTATTATTATTATTATTATTATTATTATAATTATTATTATTATTATTATTTTATTAATAATATATAGAGGATATTTGTTTAGTTCAGTGTAAGATCGGAATATATTTCACCGAGTGAGCACCAAAAAGTATATTTCACGATTGGCGCAGCCACGAGTGAAATATGACTTTTGGTGTTCACAAGGAGAAATATATTTCGATCTTACACTAAACAAAACAATTTTTTCTTATTATTATATGCAAAGAAACATTTAAAAAAAACATTAAACCTCATAATGAATGAAAAATGCGCCAAATGATAATACAATGTGACGTCATTTACGACGTCACGTCATTAAGTTGGTTCCCAGTTCTGTGCACGCCGATATTACATAGAGGATATTGAATGAGTGTAAGTTTAATACTGAATTTATTGCACGAGTTGGATAAAATTATATTAAGCGAGCCTCTGGCGAGCATAATATTATTTTATTCAACGAGTGTAATAAATTCAGTAATGAACTTACACGAATTTAATATTCTATTTATCACATACCAAAAATAAAGACCGTTTAAAGTGAAATAAGAGTCATTTTATATTGACGCGCCTATAGTATAACGCTAACATTTAGCGCGTCTTTACACTATGTTTGTATAGCGCTAATGACGTCACGTCAAAATATATGCACGGCCGTGCAATACCATATTTACGGAGTCGCAAAATCGGCACGGGTGTGTGATAAATTGAATTCTAACACGACCCGCATTTTTCCCTATTGAACATAGAACAAATGAAAGTGTGTATTATTATGCATTATTATGTGATCTAAATATAGCTGCAATCTCATTGATCCAAAAAGTAGTCAACAGAACTTTTTATAAAATCATATTTACTGGGTGTAGTATCATATTCACTGACTGAATTGGATTTCCCCAGTCTAAAAAAAGATTGAGACTCATATTCAATGATCATACACCGTAGACTGTTAATTACGCGTGTTGATTACAAAATAATTGTTGCTTTTTGTTCTTTATGGCATATTTCTCGATTAAAATATCAATACTTTACTATTATACTTAAAGGTTACACCGCAATGATGAGTATAAACTTGAATTATTTTTGTATTTTTGTTCGCGTAGTCGTTGCACGCCTAACACGTGCGTCTTTATTCCCGCGCTTCAACGATAATATAACAATTATTGACTAGTGAACCATTGAATATGATGTCAATATGTCATCTGCCGGTGAATATCACATCATATTCAATGGCTCACTAGTCAATAATTGTATAATAGAGTCACTGTTTGACGTTCTATATTTAGACGTGTGACGTATTCATTGTACATGTGACGTAACCGCTATGAAATCCGACGCGCTGACAATAAGTACGGAAACAAATCAGGCACAATTTTGCTTAATAGCAGGTACGGCATCATTTATTTGTTTATGTCGTGTTAGAATCGAAATAATATATCCAAATCGGTGATTTTATCGCTGGATAACATCACTGTTTGTCGTTCGGATGCGCAACATTATATCACTCGGGCTACGCCCTCGTGATACAATTCCTCGCATCCGAACTCCAAACAGTGATGTTATTGAGCTATAAAATCACAGTTTGGGATAAATTATTTCTTAAACAACGTAAGTGGCTTAAATTCAAAATTTATCAAATTGATAATTTCACTGTTTAATTACCAGTTTAATATCACTGATATATAGAGGATATTTGTTTGTTTTGCATGTAAGATTGAAATATATAATTTCACTGAGTGAACACTAGATGCAAATGTTTCCACGAGTGGCATAGCCACGAGTGAAAATATAATAGCTGGTGTTCACGAATGAAATATATTTCAATCTTACATGTAAAACAAATAAATTTTCTTTTTATTTCATGTTTATTAAGTGATTTTAAGTATTTTTTACTGATTTTGCCGCGTAACGTCGCGCATTCCCCTTTGTGACGTCATCACATCATGACGTCACATCACTAATTTTGAAATATGGTTCTGTTAAATTTCTCTAATTTTGTTACATTTTTAACATGATGTATGAAGACATCGACTTTCTTTTCCTAAAGAAGCAAAATTTACGCATGACAGCATTTATTTCTGCCTGTTATTCCATTTAGTTATGATTTTCTTTTCATCCGTATTCAGATATAGTCCGGCTACAGGGAAAATTATATTTTATAAATTTCACTAGTGGTTATCAGAATATAATCATCTGATATATTACAATAAAACACTGGAAAGCATGAAATAAATTTCTATAAACCACCGAAAAGCATGTAATAAAAGCCATATAAAAAATATTATTTGATCAAAATGAAAATGTAAACTATGTAACACTCTAGATGATGAATTCCAATACTTATTTGAATGTCCCCTGTACCAAGAAATTAGACAAATGCATATTGAGGAGACCTAACATACTAAAATTAAGAGAATTATTTGAATCTGAAAATGTGTGGTTAGTTAAAATTTCAGCAATGTGTGCTGTCAAAAGTTTAAATAATATATACAGCGTAGTGTATCAACTCTCACTGTATCATGAAAATTCTATTAAATTAGATCTGTTATTATGGATAAGAATATACTTAGTAATAAATCTGTTACATGTAGACAATTCTTATATCATGTCATTGATATGTTTTGCAAGTAAAAATTGTATTATTATTGTATACTAACAGGCAGACTGCCTTTGTATAAATAAAGTTTACCATATATCCTAGACAGGCATGCATTAATTATTAACTCGCTGACACAATTTTAAAACTTACTGTAAGATACAAATATAAAAATACATATTATAAGTTCAAAAGCTCATAAATTGGAATATTGTTTTGCTTAATAATGTTGATTGACTACATCGCAGTTGTAAATGTGTAATTTGAAATTATTTAATTGGAGTACCATTTTTTGCAGTATAGTGGACTTTTTGTTTGAAAACTATACTGCAGTATATATTGTTTTGTTCCTAGATATTTCACAATTGCCATGTTTTATGAATTACAAAATTTGCAAATAATCGAATTAATTAAAACTAAAACAGACTGTTTCTTTATCCTATTATTTCTGTTTGATTTTATCAACAAGTATTCTATATGCAGTAAATCGAGGACAAACATTGTGTCGCAAAAAATCTAGGTCATATCAAAGGATAATAAAAAATGTCATTATACATGTATATACATGTACATCGATTACAAGAAGTGATTCGGATGTGGCATCGATTTATAAGTTTCCAAAAATTTGGGATATGAATGCAAATATTTCCTCTTTCAGGCAAGTTTTGAAAACTATAGCATTGTATCACGGACTTATATCTATAATTAATGTCCGTAATAATATCTATTTTAAAATATGGTAAAAATAAATACAATATATAATAACATCATTATAAGACATTATCATGAACAATACTTTTTATTCTTAGAGTCCTAGTATACTTTTTAAAAAGCAACTAATTAGCTAGTTGCCAGAGCCATCTTTGACTTCTGTTGCTTTTTGGCAATTGATAAAGTAGAATTTATTAAATATTTTGTATGGAAGTCAAGTTAATATTTTATCTATATTTTGTTACATTTACGGCAAACATTTTGATATTCAGCGCTCCTTTCCTAAGGTGAAAAGCACTTGACAAAACTAACATGCTATTCAGTTACTATTATGAAAGTGATCCGTT